TCATAGTAAAATTAATACCTTCTCCGCTTCGCATCGAAGCTAAAATATGATGAAAAATATTCTTCTCCATACAAATTATAACAAACTAAATAACCCATATTTAAGACATGCAGCTTTTGAATATAAGCTAATAAATTATAAAAATTGTTTAATAAAATAAATATAATATTAATTATATTTTACTGAATGGTTATATAATAACTCAAGTTAAATACCTGTTATGACAATGATGACATTCATTATAAAAGTGAAATTTTCTATAAAATTAATATTATTGAAATTTATTTATATGTTATTAAAATTCTACCAATCAATCTATATAATTAATAGGTACAAAATAATTACGTCTTGGTCTGCATTAGTTTGCTTAACACTTTATAGGTCCAAATGCCATAATTATATAACAATAATTGATCACTTGTAGCCAATATTATTTAAAATTAGTTAATGATATGAATAATTTAGCTAGCTTGTAATATCAATGATACCCGATCTCTTTTAACATTCACATAACTGACCAAGTTGTAATATACGACCATTTTACTTACGAACAAAAGATATTTTAATCCAAACTAGCTGATTTTATCATTACCAGAAAAGTACACCTGTATTTTACCGTAGATAAGGTGGAGTAAGATAGCCAGGTACATACTTCTACCATTTTTCCTTAGTCCTGTGAATGGATTTCATATGGATCTATAATTTTCACGCGAATTACCTTCTATATCTAGCCAAATACAACAAAATTCTTTAATCATCACTCTTTCATCTTTTAAAGTACGACACATGAGTTTCCTGAAAATTGTCATTTTTACCATCCTTTTACAGCTATGGGGTATGATGACGAAAACTATTGTAAAAGAAATGAGTCTCTTATGAATTAATAGGTATTAAGTGGTACTTTTAAAATATTTAGGAGACATGAAACATTATCCTGGGCATACGTGTAACTTACATAACATTTTATGCAAACTAGGATATGAATTACTTCAATAATTCCTAAAGATAACAATTTATCAAACAAATGTCATAATTGATAAGTAGAATGCTTACTATTTCACATAAGTGTGAAATTAAAGAAAGCATGAAGAAGATATACTACCTCTAAGATAATATATACATGGTGTATGTACCAATTTTTTCTTTTAAATGAAGTTGTTATAATTTTTCATAAGGATTTCCCTTAGGGTAGTCTCTACACTAATTAAAAGCAGACTATGATACTGATTTTTCAATGAAATATCATTGAGAAATTTAAATGTGTTTGTTCTTCATATTTTATATTTTGGAACTTTTTTAACTTTTAATAAAACTAATACAGTGGATGACCACCTCCCAAAGTCACTGCTTTTATCCTTCAATACATAATATCAATTGTACCTGAGCATTAATATTCAATTAAAAATTAAAACTTAAGATTAATCTTAAAAAAAAAAACGCTTTAATAGTGTAAAATTTAGGATAAATCATAATTAAAATCTACAAACATAACTTTTTATATGTATAACAAGTTCTAATAACTTAGAACTAAATATCTGAAGTTTTATTATAAATGTGTTTGTAAAATATCAGTTATTATTAATTTTGCTATCTTCTCTGTCACAAGCAATATCTTTCAGAGAAAATATCAAACATGATTAAAAAACGATAAATTAATTGTTTTTCAAAAAAAATATTAGATTATTTAAGTTTTACACTTATATCATTAGTTTGTATAAATCTATATTATAAACAAATTTTTCTGATATCTGAGTTACCAAATTATACTGTAGTTTAAATTAGTTATAATAAATGAAATCATGTGTTACATAAAATCATTATTGTAACTCTTAATGTATGAAGTAGATAACACAGAGGTGATGTTACTTCTGTAATTAATTTTTTACAAATCTTAAAATATTTTTTATCTATTACACAAATTTATGTGAAATTATATAAACACAAAATTATACAATGATATTTTAATCTAAACACTTATACAACATTTTTGTTAAATATAAGAAATGATATAATAAAAATGGAATGTTCAAATAAAATTATTCAACTGAAAACACTAACAAAACCAAAAAAATAAAATTAATAATAAACCTCTTCATACATCTTCTGGGTTAAACATACCCTAAAAACAAAAGTTACACAGATAATAATTTTATAGTATTACTACAACAAAATGAACAAACCTTTGCACGACGTAAAATAGAGTCTTTGCTCGCATCATACGGGTGATCTTTGGATGGAATTTCAAGAACAGCTGGTATAGGTTGAGTATGTCCGTCAATGACATGACGTATCATTTCTGCAACCTGTTAAAATTTTCTAATAAAATATTTTAAAACATAAAAATTTTAAAGAAAAATTACATTTTGGTTAATGAGTATTATATCAATATCATCTCTTTTAACAAATGCTTTGAAACATTCTTCTATATCAATAATTGCTGTATCTAATAAAAGAAAAAGTTAAAAGTTTATAATCAAAATAATTTATTTTTATTTTTTATGTTATATTCTTACTTTTGTCAACAACCATAAAATTTGAATGTCTATGTTTATTAATTTCTCCTATACCACCCAATAAAAAACCAACACAAGTGTCCTGAAATAAAAATGATTATAGAAATTTATTTTTTAACAAATCTTACCAAATGACAAACAAAGCATTGATTGATATTTTATAGTTTATAAACTATTTTGCAAATAATAATATATTAAAGATACAATTTAGTAAGCCCGGACAAGTTAATAAATTTCTTGAACTCGTTGAGTTAGTTTTAGAAATAGAACATCACGCTATGTTAAGAGTTAAATTAATTTTTACATAGTCTTAATGTATTTTAAGTTTACATATAAAAATTATCATCTAGTTAATATTTTTAAAAAGTAGCAAATTACTTAACATAATTAAATTTAATTAACATTTTAATTTTTTAACCTTTTCATGCCTACCTTGAAATTTAAAATATTTTACTATAATTGAGTTTACGAGTATCAACATATTTATCAAATTATATATATATAAAAAATAGTTTCATGTTTAAACAAATTTTAAAAATAGAGAAATTAAGAACTTTAAAGAGTATTTTTAATTTGTATAATCTAGCTTTTTCACAAAATTATCAATTATTAAAAAGAATAATATTTTAAGAAATAAATAATTAAGTCAAAAAATATATCTTCTTTCTATTGGCTTAACATTAACTTATAATTAAAATAAAAACATAATACTGTAAAAAAATGACAAAAAGGGCGGGTCTGTTAGAAAACATAATCTCATAGTGATTTTTTTAATAGTTAATGAAATATTTACTTCATCTCCAATCACTGCAAGCAGTTTACCCTTTACAGCTGAGTGCATTGCCATTTTAATTTTACGCAATTTCTCTTATTAAATTAAATAAAGCAAAAATATAGTGGCGCAGTACTTTTTGTCAAAAACTATTATCACGTAATAAATAATAATCTATTAAAGAGTGAAATTTAGAAATGTATTATCATACTACTGATAAGAAAATAAAATTACAATATAGAGTAAATGTGGAAGTAATATTTACTTAGTGACGTACTCAGATTATTACTAAGAATATATTACAGTGTAAAAAGTATAAATCTTGGGTTTTATGACTTATTTTTATGGTTTTTTATAAGATTTTTGGTTCAAATACGTTGAAATAATTTTTGATAAGAAACAGTTAGGCGAATAATTTTTAGTAGTTTTTATAATAGCCTCTCGATGTAACATAATTTAGAAAAATTAGATTAATTATAGTTATATTATTTAAAGATGACTCACGGTTTTGATTTTATTAAAAATATCTTTTAATCATTTTATGCCAACAAGGCCTAATATTTTCCATACTTCTACTGGCACTTCAACTGGTCCTCCAGCTTTATTTTTTTTCATTGATGCTACAGCCTCCCATACCTCTTCCTCACTAATTAAATCTACCAATTTCTCGTTCCAGAAGATATCCTCTAATATCTCTTTTGAATAAATCTTATTCAGTAATTTTTCAAAATACTCTTTCCACCTTTTTTCATATCATTTCTTGTTATTACCTTCCTATAATCACTTTTTATACGCCTAACATAGTGATTTTCTTTAGAAAGTTTTTCTCTTACTTTTGCAAGTCTATAGAATTCTTTTTCATCTTCTTATGTTCCTAGCCTATCATATAACTCATTATAACTCTTAAATTTTGCTTTATTCACATAATCATCAAAATATACATTCAAAAATCTTGAAATATGCAATTATACGTTTAAAAATTAATTTTTATATAAAATGTGTTATTAAACAGAAAATATACATATGAAAATCAGGGGCGGACTTAGGTATGTGGTGGCCCCTGGACGGAATGCTTTGTGGGGGCCCCTTATACATAAACAAGAAAATATATTTTTTTACTTATTAAATAACAATTATTATCATATTTGTGATACCAATGTATACCAAATTTGTGGGGGCCCCTGGGCTGAAGACCACTCAGCCCTCCCCTAAATCCGGCCCTGATGAAAATAAAACAGCATAAATTAAAAAACAAAACAATCAAAAATGAACAATAAAATTATGAAAATAATTACATACAAAAATTGAAAGAAAATTTAAAAAACGGTAGCACAATGAGGTCGTGGTACAGTGGGGACAAGTATAGATGATATCTCAGAGTGATTAAAATCACCTCCAAAGAAATTCTTTGATGAAACTCAGTACATAGTGTGTAATTTTAAGCAATGGATTATTCCAAAAGCAACATCAAATCCTATTTTCTTATTTATATTGTGATTAGTTAGTAGTTCTTTAGTCTAAAAATATTATATTTGAATTAATACTGAATTATAGTTATAATTATAGTAATTAAACTTAGCGTGAAATTGATATTCAATAATAAAATATTGTAAATTTTACGAAGAAATTGTAAAAAATTTAAAGTAGTTAACTACTTTAAACGAAAAAATAACGAAATATTTGTAATAATATATATAATAAACGAAATATACAATTGTATATTTCGTTCTTCTATGGCAAACGTCTATAAAAATTGAAGAGCTTAATGCAAAACTTTCCATAAAATAATTTGAACTACATTGGTTTACAAGAAATTTTTTACAAAGTCAAAAATATACTTTTTCTAAACCAATTTTTGCGTTGATTTTAATTTGCAATTAGATTTCATCTATCACCTCTAATTTTTGAGATTATTATTAATTAGTAAACAACGAATATTTACATATAAAAATAAAAAAAAGGTTAAAATGAAATTCTATAACACATCAGCGGATGAAGTTATAGGTAAAACTAGTTCCGGAATATTTTATAACATTAATATATTATACAATATTGGATATAACTATTCGTTCTATAGTTATGAGTATTTCAATTGTAGTATCTAATTAAACACAAGAATATCAAAGAAATAATTATTTTTATCGAAATGTTTATTTCTATATTAATACAAATATATTGTGATAAATTTCAATACAACTTGAAAAATGATAATTTTCCCACTAATAAAATATTTTTTGTCTAACTTCGAGCACCGTTTAGCTATAGAAGACCAGTCATCGGGACAATTTTTTTTTAACTTATATACTTTTTAACTTAAGCTCTATTTTAACATGTATTTGAAGATCGAAGTATTTTCATAACACTTAAGTTGAAAAAGTTAAATTTTGTCACTGTCAATGTCTCAACTAGATATGACTTATGATCTTTGGACATATCGTTAAAATTAATTGGTACAATGAGAACAATATATTAAAATAAACATTTTTGAAATTTAATAAATGCCAAGTTTTCTTGCGGGGTAAATGTTATAGTTTAAAATCTTTCATGTGCCATATTTATAAGTTTAGTAACATTTGACAATGATTTTTTTTTTTCTTCAAGAGTTATAAACGAAGATAAAAATGAAAAATTTTTATTTTATAAAAACTAGATTAACTTATAATAGCCGTCGATAAGTTATGTGAATAATTTTGGAATTGCTTATCCTGCCCTCTGTTGTATTTAGCTCTAGGCTAAAGTATTCGCCGCCCTCTTATTTCTTAGTAACCAGTATTTCGTTTACGTTTACTATTATTACTAATTAATATTTATTATACTATAAACTAATAATATTCTTAGATATCAATAAATATTAGATTAAATTTGAAGTGGCTCCTATAATGCCTCGAATGTATTATACCTCAAACTTTTTCTAGTGTGGTGAAGTCTTATTTTTTTTATAATCTTTGTTTCTTGCTTTCTGGGCTTCTTCCGAAAGTTGACCTAAAAATGTATTCAAATAAATTGTTACACAATTTAATTGATGTATAGGATTATAATGAATATATATATTCCAATCGGAAGTATTGCGAATCGTATTACGTCTGTTCTATGAATTAACACTTAGTGGACACTAGGAGGCATATAATACCACGGGTATAAATCAGTAAAAATTTTAGCTGTTTCCATAACATAAATATAAAAAGCATGTACATTAAATTTTTTCCACTGGAAATTGCTGAAAGTATGTTNGGTGTGCCCCTTAAGCTCTATTTTAACATGTATTTGAAGATCGAAGTATTTTCATAACACTTAAGTTGAAAAAGTTAAATTTTGTCACTGTCAATGTCTCAACTAGATATGACTTATGATCTTTGGACATATCGTTAAAATTAATTGGTACAATGAGAACAATATATTAAAATAAACATTTTTGAAATTTAATAAATGCCAAGTTTTCTTGCGGGGTAAATGTTATAGTTTAAAATCTTTCATGTGCCATATTTATAAGTTTAGTAACATTTGACAATGATTTTTTTTTTTCTTCAAGAGTTATAAACGAAGATAAAAATGAAAAATTTTTATTTTATAAAAACTAGATTAACTTATAATAGCCGTCGATAAGTTATGTGAATAATTTTGGAATTGCTTATCCTGCCCTCTGTTGTATTTAGCTCTAGGCTAAAGTATTCGCCGCCCTCTTATTTCTTAGTAACCAGTATTTCGTTTACGTTTACTATTATTACTAATTAATATTTATTATACTATAAACTAATAATATTCTTAGATATCAATAAATATTAGATTAAATTTGAAGTGGCTCCTATAATGCCTCGAATGTATTATACCTCAAACTTTTTCTAGTGTGGTGAAGTCTTATTTTTTTTATAATCTTTGTTTCTTGCTTTCTGGGCTTCTTCCGAAAGTTGACCTAAAAATGTATTCAAATAAATTGTTACACAATTTAATTGATGTATAGGATTATAATGAATATATATATTCCAATCGGAAGTATTGCGAATCGTATTACGTCTGTTCTATGAATTAACACTTAGTGGACACTAGGAGGCATATAATACCACGGGTATAAATCAGTAAAAATTTTAGCTGTTTCCATAACATAAATATAAAAAGCATGTACATTAAATTTTTTCCACTGGAAATTGCTGAAAGTATGTTTCCAAATCGTTTTACTAAATTTATAAATATATTCCTGTAATGTTCATTCAATGTTATACCAATGAAGATTTGATGCATATGCTATTAGTATCAAGTGATCCATATTTTTCGTTAAATTCGACGGCTATTTTCCAATAGAAGAAAAGGTGTCAGGACAATTTTTTTTTTTAACTTATAGTTTTTATTGTAAGCTTTAATTTGACATATGTTTAAAGGACGCAGTATTTCGGGAACATTTTCAAAACTTAAGTTGAAAAAGTTGCTATTTTAAATCCCTTCTTGTGGACAGTTAAATAGTTAATTTTTCAAAAATATTATATTGAATAAAAGGAAAATATCTAAGGTTTCAATATAAAAAAAAATTATGTTGATTTGTTAATTTTTGAAAAAGTTATGGAAGTTTTAAGAAAAAAAAGTGGAAAAAATGACGAAATTTACCAACTTTTAAAACTGTAATTTTTTTTTAGATTTGCCCCATTTACGGGGAACGAGGCAATTTTTTGAATTTTTAAAGATGATGTCTTCAACTAGATACGATTTGTGATCTTTTGACGTATTGTTGAAAGAAATCGGTCCAGTGAGAGCTGAGAAAAAGTGGCAACAGACACAAAAAAAACACATCATGGTAAAATTAATACCTTCTCAGCTAATAAATAATACATTTATTCTAATAAATATTTATATTTATTTAAAAAAATTTTTATATATATTTTTAATTTTAAAAAATATTAGCCACAAATTATCAATTTTTATTATATAAATATATTTATAATCTTACTCTGTAACATTGAATATACTAATATTAATATCAGAATTAAAAATAAATTATTTTATTCAACAAAAATAGAAGTCATACTCAATAATTTTATATACAATTTGAAGAAGATTGTTATTAAATAGTTAATAGGTACACAGTTTTGAAATAAAGATCTCAGGCAGTTATTCTAGTTAAATATTCTAATAGGTTATAAATTATAAGAAGCAGAAACTATTTAGTTATGATTTTTTTAATTACAATATTACAACTATATAACTTTCTAAATCAAGAGTTTCATTTCAGTGCTTTTAAAATTTTTTTCTCATTCATTATCATAATTAAAATTCTGGCACTATTATTCATATATTTATTATAATTATCATTAATCTATAATAAAAGTCTCATTTTTAATTACTCTATAATAAATAAACTGGAAATAAAAATGTAAATCATTGATAAAATATAATATGTTCTAAAAACTTATTATCCTTATATTATAAGATTAATAAGTTTTTTTTGGTCTTCGAAAATACTGCGCCTTAGAACGATATCAACCTTAATACGACTTATAGTACTATATGCCTCAGAGCCGTGACCACTCAGGAAATGGAGGAAACAAGATTAAAAAGTTTCGAAATGAGAATCTATGGTCGTCCATGTAGGGACATCCACACGGTAGATTGGTGTAAACGACATTTATGAACTGTTTGAAAGACCGAATATTGCAAAATTTGTTTAGCTGTATAGTCTCAATGATCATATCGTCAAAAAAAAAAAAACAAAAAAAAAAAGAAAAAACTATGTATAATTACCTATAGGTAATTGTATTAAATTGTATCTTCTTTTATTAAAATGAGATCATTTTTTTTAGATATTAATTGTTTTATTTTCAAAAAATATAAGATAGGCTTTGAAAATATGTTACACTTTTTATTATTATTATAGCAAATGATGAGGTCATTGGCCAAATTGATTAATATTTACAATAGTTATATCAAAATAATTGTTATTTACAATAATTACATTAAATGTTATCTCTAATTTGCATTGACTTGATAAATTTTAAGGTTTTCATAATATTATAAGGTTGGTTTTCTAAATTTTCTTGTAGACTAACAGTGATTGTTTTTAAACCATATAAATTTAGAGGTACTTTAATTTAGAGGTAAATTTAGAGGTTATTATTATAACAATCAATTTTACACAAAAAAACTAAATAACTGATTTTAAAAAAGTAAATAAATTTTTTGTTTAATATGCACCCTTATCCTTTACTTGTGATATGGTATCGCTAAAAATTATAATATTTAATCAGATATCAATTCTTATATTAAATAAGTGTAAAATTCAATAAAGGCATTAAAATTTATAATTTCTCTACAAAAATTTGTCTGAAAATTTAATTCTGTGTTATATTAAAGGCAATTTTTTTCATATTGCTTCTTTATAAAATTAAAAAAAAATAGCAATAATACATTGAACCTTGTCATCCTACAATTGCTAATTTAGGGCGATGGAAGACGTTGTTTATATGACTTTCTCTTATACCATCAACTGATTTAATAAAACTTTGATGATATATAAGATAATTTATAACATTTAATAGCTCTTTCATCATGCAAGTTATTTGTACACATCACGTTTTCTAAAACAAAATAATATTAGTACTTAAGATACTATAAGATTAATACTTATAAAAAAAATTAAAAAGTATTTTCTGGAGTTTTATTGTATTTACATAAAATTAGTATGTATATAAAAAAAGAAATGTTAATAAACTTAGGGTTTAAAAATAAATTATACATTTAATCAAACATTAGCAGAACACTAGACATAAATTATTACATTGAATTTTATGAAATTGATCTCTAACGGAAGTCAATAATTATACACCACTTAATTAATATTATTTTAATTGCTGGAGATAATTTACTAAATATTAAAACCATTTATAAATGAGTAAAATTAATATAAATGCCAAATAAAAATTTGACTTAAGTTTTGACCAATTTTTTTTATATAATTAAAATTTGAGAAAATTTTAGCAGGCATACAAATTGAAATCAAAAATACATTTTATTCTATAAATACCATAATATAGTAATTTACTCATAATTAAAACCACTATCATCTTGTGGATTTTCATAAACATCAACATCAGCTTCAGCTTCTTCATCCTCATCAATCTCTCTTACTTCTTCCTCAACCACTTTATCTTCATATTCCATCTGCTCTTCACTATTAGGCTGCAACAATTTTTCAATCTGGCTTTCAACCATATTTCTTTTCTTTCCTAGTATATTACTTAAATATGTTTTTGTCTTTTCCAATTTTTTTTCAGTCTTCTCATTGTGTATTTTAGGTAAATAAAATACTGAAGGATCAAATTCAGTTTTTATAAAATTCATAGTACAATTAATTTGTCGTTCAAATATTTCGAAATTTCTCACTAACCCCATTTTAATTTCTATATTTTTGATATCTCTTTTTTGTTGTTTACGCTGCATGAACAGTTCCCTTTTTTTCATAACTAAAGATTCTTTTTCTTTAATTGCTTCCTCTTCTAATCTTCTTTCTATTTTTGCTTTCTTTTCTTCTTTATCTTTTAACTGAGTTTCTTCCTTTTTAAACCTTTGTAATGTTCCTAATAATGATCCAAACATACGTCTGTTTCTTTCTTTTGTTACCTGGTCTCCTTGTTGAGCAGCTAGAACTTCTGTTCTGGATTTCATAATTTTTGATGATAGCATAACCTGAGATTGAAGAGTTTTTTTAGGAGTACATAAATTATCATCATCATCTTCTTCATCTACATTTTCTTCTTCTTGAAATTTAGAATTGTCTTCCTTTACAATTGTACCTAATCTGTCTTTAGCTGATATTCTATTAACACTAGAGCCATTTTTGAAAGTTTTGGGAAATTCATTAGAATTAATATAAACTTTACGATTTGAACTATTGCTTTTAAATAAAGGTTTATGGTCTTGAAGTCGCTTAATGTCTTTTTTTAATGGTTCTTGTGAATGTTTTTGTTCTCCACCAATTTGATTACGTTTATTGAACTTTCCATGGTTGATATTGTCATCAAATGAATCTCGACCAGTGATTTTTTTTAATGTCTCATCAACGTCATTTAGTCCTTGACGTTTCTTAACCAAGTGTTCTTGTAATCGATCTAAAAGAGTAGTCATAATAGAAAAAGCTTCGAAATTAACAATTACACACAAAACCGATAAACACTTAATAAATTTAAAGGTTACTACAATTAAAAAATAACACAGTTTTCCAAAAAAAAACTGTCAATTCCCCTCAAGAAATAAGATGGGTAAAATTAAAATTAATTTAAATGTTAGAAATTGATATCAAGTCGTAAAAAATTCAATAAATAAGCAATTAACCGCATAAAAACACTCATGCTACACTCTGAATGCGGTTTATCATTATCAAAAATAATTGCAAAAGGAATAAGATAAACTCAGCATAGTTAAAAACTTGAAAAGTTGTTTTCTCGATAATGACTCAATATTTGTTTGGGCAATGTGAAGACCACGAATTAAGATATCTTATCTAAGTTCGTGTCACTATTATAGATAAAATGGTTTCCCAACGAGCCACCAATAAGATAGATTATTTGGTGATTGTAGTTTATATTATTATCACTGTGAATGAGAAATAGCTAACGCTTCTAGTTGATAAAACTTAGTTTTTCTGGCTAAATTAGAAATAACCCTGTTTTACATGGTTTGTTTAGATTATTAATGAATTTTTCAATTTTAAAATAATTTCAAAATAAAGTGTAATATGCCTATTTGTACGGCTGACAAAAATTATCATCTTTTGGATTATCAAAAGATGAGCAAATATTATAAGAATGAGAAAAAATACTTGATATTTCTCTGAAAAGTAATTTTCGAGTATGTGCTACACATTTTGAAGACACTAATATTATTGGAACTAGAGATGCAGGACAAGGAGTTTCAAAATATTCAGTAAGTATAATATATTAGATTATTATACATATAAATATGTATCATTGTTATTATGTTGTACAAATAGTTATTTGAATCATTATTAAAATAATATATACAATAATTATTATAAATTTTCATTTGAATATATTTGACTATGTGTTATAGATTTATTTGAAAATAGTAAAACTAAAAAAAGGTGCCATTCCTTTAAGAAATAACGCAATAATATATGGATATGAGTTGAATCAAAATATGTCATTATTAAATATCACCACGCAAAAAATACAACCAAAATTAGAATAAAGAATTTTTGTATTTTTTTCAATCAATAAATCATGACGCTTTTGCTAACTTAAATGTTGAGCATGACAGTTGGTAGCAAAAATGTGTGATATAATAAAAATTTAAAGTAGATATTAATTAAAAACTTTTTTTTTATCTCAATTATGCATTTTAAATGAATATGTGAAGGTTTCAAATTTAAGGGTCAAATAAAACAGTTTCTAAAGTACTGTAGTCAATGTCATCATATGAACTGCTTTTACATTTTACAAAAAAAATAAAAATAAAGTAATAGTAAAAATGATTAATTTTAGTGCATCAATGGCTGCAAGTATCGAGTTTAATGATAGAAAAAACAATGAAGGGATTGAAAACTGTTAGGAATTTATAAAATTTACTAAATTGATGAATAACATGTTTTATGCCTTAGATAGAAAATTTTCTTGCCGAAGGAGTAAGAAAAAGACCCAAAATATCAAGATTTTTTATGTATTCATCAGTGTTTTTAATTTGCATGTTTGTCATTTTTACTGCATGCAAGATAATTTTTCTGTTCCATTTTATTTGTGTTTTTGTCTTTTTTTTTAAAATGCGGAATTAATATGTATTTAAAAAATTATCATTATTGTAAGAGTAACTTTTTGTACATATACATTTTAAAAAGCAGTTTAAAAAGGATAATAAAATGGCAATCTAATCATGAATAAAAAAACTTATTAGTGATGGTGAATTTTTGATCAAACAGATAATAGAAGGAATTAAAATCACAATACAATTATTTATGGATTTAGTTAATATATTAGACTTTTATAGGTTTAATTATTTTCTGACTGCCAAAATAAATCAACATTGTCTGGAAGTATTATAAAATTATAAAAAAAATTAATTTATTATCATTGGATAATTAAAAATTTTAATCTTTATTTTATAAGAACATTTTTTAAGAAATTTTTTGGAATTATAAGACAATTATCTGAGCCATATGATAGATTATAGTATGATCATGTTATAAAGAGAGAGGAAACGGAAGCTGTAAGAACAGTTATAGAAATGAATGTTGAAGGAAGATGAGGTAGAAGAAGAAAATAAACGGAGGTATGTAATTGAATGCAATATGAGGACGGCTAATGTGAGGGTAGATGATGTGGGAGATCTTGTAAAGTGGAAGTTTAGGATAAGGGTGGCCGACCCCAAGTAGTTGGGATTAAGCTGAAAAAAAAACAAGAAGATCTAGGCCATATGATCACTTTTACTATTCCTACATTTCTTCAGTTATTTAGAATGTTGTTATTAAACTCATTTATTAAATCACCAAAAGCTGAAATCTGTATTGTCGACTCAGCTATAAAATCTATGTAATAAATTAAAAAAAAACAATATTTTTATACTGCAGAAAGTTTGCCTTCTATTACAATTAAAGACAATATGAATTATTTGTTAAGCTCATCTTTGCTGGAAGAAAAATTATATAAATTAAAATTAAAAATGAATGACATAATTAAAAATGCAAGTCTTTTTAGAAAATATTTTGGTCTCGTAGAAAACTAATTCTTCAGAACTAGAACCAATTAGTTTTAAATGCACTATTTATAATTTGTCAGGGTAATCAATTACAAAATAGCCAATTAAAATATTATATTTGCTACTTAGTCAATAGACATAATTTTTGTAGAATTAACTTACTATAATTAAAGACACTATGATTTTTTCTAGTGGTATAGCTAGAGGACTTGTTAAATAAATTTCGAGTTGTGTATTAGTGACTTGAAAATTTTTAATTCAGGTGGTGCATCTAATGAAGTAGAACTAATGAACTTAAAATCTTTTAACACATCCTAACAAAAATTTGTTAGTTATGTCATAAAGTTTGGAAAAATGTTTTGTTTAACATATGCTGATTCAATTGATATGATGTATTTGAAATATATTCAGAATTTTTAAATACTTATGAAACTTTATCATTTTTGTGTAATACTGATTTGTTGACCTATATATGCAGTACTATGATAATCATGAGCATGAGACGGTGTTCTTGCATGAAAAATCAATCGGGGAAGAACAAAAAGTTGTCAAGACTTGTATATAGCATTTTTTTATATTTTGTTATTAAATAAATAAATAAATAAATTAGAATTATAATACTAGAACTCTCGTATGGCAGCTACTAGGTTCCGTTTATATGATAATGAAACTTTTTAGGTCTCGTTATCACAGCACGTAAGGTAACCATTTTATCTATACTATTAGTTCGTGGTAAAAACGCAGATATGATAAAACCAGATGGTGAACTTTGTATACAAGATGTGTAATTTTTAAAAATAAAATACCAAAACCTACTTCAGATTAGTATTGCCACTCGTAGGAAAAAAAATTGCAACTATGCATTGCTTTTTATTATTGTTTGTTATAACATTTTGTAAGCACCTCCAATTTAATAGAACTTTTCAATCCTGTTTTACTTTTGCGGTATTGACGTATTGATATCCATTTTATATTAAAAATTAATTTTTTTATTGTTAATTTTTACAGAAGTTTTATTTAAAAAAATAATTTTTTTTCAATAAAAAAATTTTAAATTACAGTAATAAAAAAAGCACATAGAAATATTTTTAAAAAACTGCCCATAAGATATTTTTCAATGAAATGTAAATATTATAGACATATTTAGCATTCAGTAGCAGATTAGATAAAATCGAATTATTTAAACTGCAATAGAGATAAAAGACTGATGAAATTAAAGATAGGTCAAAAAGTTTACTAATAAATAGTACATTAAAGCTACTCAAATTTTGGCTAATTTTTTAATTTCCATTAAAATGTGTTACACATACACATATGTGTTATCAATTATTTGATACAAAAACTTTAGTTAGAGGTACTGTACAATAAATTAATTCTTTATATGTGGTGTCACTGCAAAGAGACAAGTTCGAGTTATCAGTAAATCAAAAAGTGCTTTATCTGTAGTATAGATATAATAATTTAATTTGATTAAACTGAACAGAAATTCTATAATAGGCCACGTCATATTTAAAAATCCTACCGCATGTAGGTCCCTGAAAAATTGTCGCTTTTCATCAATTGACTAGGAAAGTTTAATTGTTTTAATATATATACATGTAGAACTGAATTTGACAAAAGATCTTATGGAGACCTTACCACATTTTTGGAGTTTCTCCGCTGCACTTCTTTTCTTGATTAAGTATAAAACTGTTCATTTCCAAAAAGGGGTCCCCAGTAATTTTTTTTAATAAATCAATTGTTATTTTATTAGCTAGTTGAATATGTATATTGCTGTTTGAAAAATTAAAATTGACCACTTTATAATAAATAAGGGATGAACATAAAAATACTTTATTATTGATAAATTGAGAAATGCATAAGAAATAAATAGTTAAATTCTCAGTATTATATTTATTTTTGATTAATTAAGTGAATCAATGAAAAAATAATCACTCAAGAGTGTTGGATTTTAATATTTTTAAGTATTTTTTTTTGTCTAGCTTTCTATGGCCCTTGAGAAAATTTTCCACAAACCCGTATAACTCTAAATTGGATGTACATATGTAACCAAGTACTTAAACAATCATTTTTAGTAGAAATAAGTATGTAATAAATATTTAGGGGATGATAGGGATGAGTAAGGATCAAAATAAATATGAGAGTTCTTAGTTTACTAAGCTGTCCAAACTATTGATGATATTCTCCAATAATCAGACTGTATATCTGCAATGACGCATATAATTTCCTACTTCAATTATCCAATCGTTTGTAGTTTTTTTTATGTAATTATATTTATTTTTCCATTAAAATTTTCTATCAGTTTTGAGTAAATGATGTTCCTATTAATATAAGTTAAAGCACATCCCATTTATTGGTTTTATTTTTAAACTATTTTCTCTCCATATAATGATTTTCATTTGTCTTTCAACAGTTTTATCGAGAAATCAACGCTATACATAGTAGATGTTTATAAAAGCGTTACCAGAAGGTCTTTAACCTCCTTGAAACACAGTAGGGAGGTTGTTGAACCAAAAATTATTAAACATAAATATAACGTGTACATGTTAAGTGGAGGGGACTTGATAGCAATTGTTATTATTCTAAACAATTTCGGTGTTTAGAATTAAGTCCTTAGTGTGAATCATAAAATGACGATAGATATGTTTCAGTTTACTCGAATTTTAGTGGACTCTAAGAAGGTAATGTACACGATTTAGGCAAATTTACTCAATGCTGTTTATTGTTACTTTTTGAAATAGTTTTCCTTAAAATTTAAACAGTCTATGCTTACATTATGTTAACGCCCGCAACTATTTTAACCGAATATCACTTGTTATTGTTTTGATAGCCTAATACTAAATATTTTAATAGGACCATCAAGAGCAGTACTTCTAGTTGTAAAAGGTACAAAGGATTTATAGCAACAGGTGGAATGCAATCCTCTATCACAAATTATTTATTTTAATAATAAACCAGATTCCAAAATAACAAAATTTCAAGAGCTTACAGTAAAAGGTTTATTAAATATTGAATTGTGATCAATAAATTAGAATAAATAAATATAAAAAGTTTAAATAATAGAATTTTATCTCTAAAATATTTAACTTATGAAGTTTTAACAATTACAGTTTTTTTTTTTGTTTTTGCAGTTATTTTATTGGAAAAAATAATATATATTCTGCAATTTTAAAATGTTGAAATTTATTCGTGGAAAAGGTCAACAACCATCAGCAGAGCGTCAGAAAGTTCAAAAAGACCTTTTTGCTTTTAGACGAGTAAGTAAATATTTCTTTATTTTAGGAATATTTCAGTATAATGAAATAAACTAAAAAATTGTAATTCATAATTATGTTGTAGTCTTAAAACATTTTTAGTTTAATAATCGATTAAAATAGTGGTCTCATGTAGATTTTAAAATTAATCAAACTATAATAATTTAATCGATAATGTATTTTATTAAAATTATGTATCTATGTAATAAATAAAGAAAAATTGAGTTAATATTTCTAACTAATCATTTTTTTAATTAAAATAATACTTATTTGTAATTTTATTTTTTGAAAAACTATTTTATTTTTTTATTTTTTATTTTTATGATTTCTTAAACTTGTTGATTTTTTTATTAATTGTTAAATCTAATTTTAGACTTTGCAATATGGTTTTCCAAATAAACCAACAGCTATTGCTTGGGATCCTTTGTTGCGGATCATGGCAATTGGCACATCAACAGGTTCAGTCAAAGTGTATCCTTTAATTATTGATAAAACTTAAATAATAATTATTATAACTTGAGGACAAGCTAGTGATATTTTCTGGTGTTTGTCCTTTTACCCCCCAGTCATGAGATTATTCTCATATTCCCTTAAAACTTTTTATACTATTTCTACAAACTACTGTATAAAAATAATAGCATTAGTAAAATATAATTGCCAGGTATAATTATACTAACTATTGAAGGATATAAAAAAAAAACAAAGAAACTATTATATGTTCAGAAAATGTATCATTTTAAATTTTACTGTATTTTTGAAGAAATGGAATTTTCTTATTTTCTATCTTATCTATTTGTAGCGACCAAAACATACGCAACGAATATTCTCGAATGTTCTCGTTATCAAAAACCTTCGAGAAACTTCGATAACGCCATAAGATAACCTACGCGGGTATAGAATATTCTAGAATTAGCGAGAGCCTTATCGGAGCTATATATATATCGGAAGAATCAGTCAGTTCAGTTAGTTCAGTTCAGACTGTCTAGTCCGCGATACGCTACACGACCGCTACACTCCGCCGCTGTTGTCATCGTGTATTATGTTTACTTCGATTATTTTATTTTTCCTTACTGTATATACATATATTTTCTTTTAGTGTTTATACGTCTATTTTCGTGTTATAATTTTGTTTAATAAAAGTCTACCGCCCTTTAAATAATTGTGTGTTGTAAGATATAACCCACATATTTATGAGATTGTATATATAGATTTCTCTGAAAAGTAGACAGAAGTAAAATAATTTTGATAAAAAAAAAATGTTAGAACATTTTCTTTAATACATCAAAACAACTTTTTCAAATCAATTTAACTAATATGTGAAAAATTATATTAATATGAATATGAATTTTTAATATTATACTTTTTTTCATCCAATTACAAGATGTACATTTTTATAATATCCGATTGCTATTATCATAAAATGAGATATATACAGCCAAAACTAAAAGCATATATTTTATCTTTGTTTGTTCAGTTAGATTTGACACCAAGTTATTTTTTAAATATTTATTTATTGATTTTGTAATAAACGATAAACAGGTTTCAAATTAAACATTTTTTTTTTGTTTAATATATAACTATATATTATAATAAAGTTTAATGTTATGTAATTTTTTTTTTGTTTAACGTTATAAAGGTTTAAAACATAATTCAATTAAACAGCAGATTTTAATACAGGCAATGACTACTTTTTTCTAACATAAAATTTTTTTAATATAATGTTTGAAAAAAAAATTGTTTTTGTTTTACGTTACAAGTTGTATTTAGTTTGACAATATTTTACATATATTGATGTCACATTTTTTGGTTTTTTGATTATAGAAAGACAAAATTTTTTGTTTCAAACATTATTTATAATGTTTCCTTGTCTTGATAATAGGAAAATCAAAATTCTAAATGATTTATTTTTTTATTAAAATTATTTTATCAAGAGATCTATAGTAAAAGTTAAATGTTTTATTATGTAGTAAAACTTAATTCTAGTTAATGTTATTTGTAAATTCAATGAAAAAATAATAAAAATTGAGTCTATGACTTTAAAAATATATCAAAAATTAAATTTTTTAGAAGGAAAAAACTATATGGAGAATAATGATTTTTTTTTTTGTTTTCCATATTATGCCTATTCTATACAGAATTTTGATTTAATTTTTTCACAAAATATTAGATTTTGTATTTATTATTTATTTAAAAAGAAAAAAATATTTTTTTAGACTTAGTTTTTTTTTTTTATGTTAACACTTCAATTACAAACTATTTAATTTAGCTTTTAGTTTGATTTAATTTCTTAGACATTTATTTTGATTTATTTTAATTACAGATTAAACTCAATTATGAAGGTATTAAATTGTTTACTGTCCTTTAAATGTATTATGTGCTATTTGGAATTCATGATAGTTTTAACTAGTTTATTTTTTTAATTATTATATTTTTTAGTCATCATAAGGAACATGTTTTAAAATTTAAAACTTCTCACTTTCTTATAGCATATTCTAATCTCTTCTAATGTTATTTTCTGTTCTCTGAAAAATAATCTACATATTATTCTTAATTCATATGATTAAAAATAAATAAAAAAAATTATCTTATATAAGTTTTAAGACTACCTTATAAATATAAGTTAATTTTTTTAAAAATAATTATTCAAATGTTAATATTATTGAGCTACACCAATTGTTACACTTTATCATTATTATTTGTTAAATGTTGATACAGTAGTGTAGCTAAATTTTATGTATTATGATATAATATTTTGTATACATTATATTTTTATGTAATCAAACATTTTTTATTTTCCTTAAATCTAAAGTTTAGTTTAGGTAAACCTGGTGTTGAATTTTACGGACATTTACCTAGTTCAGATCAATGTATTACAAAACTTATATTTGTTCCTAACCAGGTAATTTAAAGTTTTATCATTGAATATATAAATGTGTATTACATTATTGTAAATATGTTAAATTTTAGGGTCACTTGATCTCATTATCTGATGACAATAGTCTGCATTACTGGGAAATAAACGACACAGCCATTGATGAAGTTCAGTCATTTTTATTAGAAGGAAAGTAAGTGATAAAATTTAAACTTTTAAATATATTCCTATTGTATTATTTGTAAAATTAGACTAAAGCAGATATCCTCTCTCTGTTTGGAATCAAACTGTGAAAAGTTGTTGCTTGGAACTGAAGGTGGAAATATCTTTACCTTAAATATACCATCTTTTGAATTATCTAATGATATAATTTATCAAGATGTTGTTATGCAAAAGTAAAATTAACATTGAATTAATAAAATAAAATTATTTCTCTAAAACTGTAAACTTATAATTTGTAGAGTATGTAATGACTATAAAAAAAATCCTGGAGCAGTTGAATCAATAGCAGAACAACCTCATAATGTAGACAATATATTAATTGCTTATAGTAAAGGATTGATTGTTTTATGGGATAAAATTAATTTGTCTACTTTGAAAGTATGAACTAATATTAAGAAAGTAAAACTAACTAAAACTCAATTAAAAAAAAAACATTTTTTATAATTATTTTTAGCTTTGTTGAAAATGTTTTAAGATTTATTCATCTTGTCAGCTATGTGTTTAAATCAATGTTTACCCTTTTATTAGTTTATGATATTTATACAAGGGATAGAATGATAATTGTCAATGATTATTGATAAATACTATCAGTAATAAAGATATTATCAGTAGTTTATTATGAGCTACAATTTTGTCAGCATTTAATAAATTAATTTTCTATAAATTGAGGCTTTCAGATTTGAAGAGGTCAAAATAACATTTTAAATGTAAAAAAGAGATTGTATAAAACTAATAATTATTTTTTTTTATAGATTAAAGAATTAATTTTTTTAGTTCAATTACATGGAAATTATTTTTTGTCACATTGATTTCTTTAGATTTAAGTGCCTCATTTAATTATTATGTTAAATATTTTTATTTATTTATTCCATTTATATTTATAGACATTTATTAGTAGCCAACATGTCGAAAGTATCTGTTGGGAAGAAAGTGGAAATAAGTTTTATTCTTCTCATAATGATGGTTCTATAACACTGTGGAAAGTAGATGAAACTTCAGATGAAAATGACAATACAAGTACAGTTTATGGACCCTATCCATGTAAAACAATTCCTAAAGTACTTTGTTTGCAATCCTGTCAAGATTCTAAGTAACTATTAAGAATATTTAATTAATTAATATTTATTATTTAATAAAATGTCACTTAATTTTCTGTATAGTGAAAATTTACTTATATTTTCTGGAGGTATGCCCAGAGCATGTTATGGTGATAAACATGCAGTCACTGTACAACTGGGTTCTTCTAAACATGTTGCATTTGATTTGACTTCAAAAATAGTTGATTTTTTTGCTACTACTGCTTCACCAGAAGAAAAAGGTTATTTTAATTTATTTTTTAATAAATGTTTTTAAGTTATCTTTTTATCATTTAGTTTTATTTTTGTTTTATAGGTTCTACTTCTTTAATTATTTTAGCTGAAGAGGAAATAGTTGGTATTGATTTATCTTCTGACGATTGGCCTTCAATTCAATTACCTTATCTTGTATCTGTACATGCTAGTGCTATAACATTTACTCATTTTGTTTCCGATATTAATAAAGATTTATGGGACAGTATAATTGCTACTGGAAGTTCTCATAATGAAAATATTTTTTCTTCGAATGTAGGTTGATATATGTTTAAGAATATTTAACATTTTAATCGTATTTTATTTATTTAAATATTTTAAAATAACTAAATTAAATATAATCAATGATTTTACTTTAAATATAATTTATTTTGTTTTAAAAATGAATATTTTGTAAAATTCTTATTTATTTTAAGGATTGGCCAGTAAATGGTGGCCAATCAAATATAACAGATGATCAAAGTCGAGATCTTTTAATTACTGGACATGAAGATGGCTCTGTTAAACTATGGGTTGCCAATGGATCACCTTTATTACCTATTTATGTTTTTAAGTCATCATGGGTTTTGGTTGGAGATGATGTTGATAATATTTCCAGTAACACTATACCTCCTGATGACGAGGATGAATGGCCTCCATTTAGGAAAATAGGAAATTTTGATCCTTATTCAGATGATCCAAGACTTGCAGTCAAAAAAGTCATTTTATGTCCATATAGTGGTACTATGATTGTAGCTGGCACAGCTGGTCATATTATTGTTACTAAATTCAAAGATGAACCTTCTTCTAATGAAATTAAAGTATTTTTTATTAATTTTAATACTTAATTAATATTAAATATAGATGTTATTTAATTTCTACAAATTACTTTATTGATAAAATTTTTGCTTAAGAAGAATATTTTTTCTTTCTTTAACTTATTGTTTCTCTAGATTAGAGATTAATTTTTAACTAATACTTAAAATAATTAAAGCTTTAAAAATGTTAATTTAATAATAAAATTTATGAATATATTGTAGGCTGTTCAAATGAATGTCGTTGGTGAAAGTTTTGTGTGGAAAGGTCATGAACGTTTAAATTTAAAGCAAACCGGTGATGAAGCTAATAACAATAATGGCAAAAATACTACTTGTCTTTCATTTAAAGCTGGTTTTCAACCTATTTCTGTATTACAAGTTTATCCTCCAGCTTCAATTACAGCTGTAGCTTTACATTCTAACTGGTCTTTAGTTGCAGCTGGTACTGCTCATGGTTTGGTTATTTATGACTTCTACCGCCAAGCACCAGTACTTACAAAGTGTACATTAAATCCAAATGGTAACTAATTAATAACTTGAATTTTTGAAGTAAAACCTTTACAAGTGTCCGCAAAAAAAAATATATTACATATCACAGTAGATCGTAATTTTTTGGGTATAATGTTTAGCTGTTATGTTTGGCCATCATGGATGGATTCTATTGTTTTACAGTCAAAATTATATTTTCATAGAATAATAAAATTTTGACCGTGTATCTAATAAAACTATATAATTCGTTCATCATAAAAGAGATGGCCAAATGTGATAGTTGAACGAAACAGCTAATTATGATGCCAAATGTGATACCCAATAATCAAGTCAAACAGATTCTATTGTTCAATGAATATATACGTTCAATAGATGTGTACATTTGTTAAATCTGTGCGTTTTCATTTTATTCTAATAGTATAAATAAATTTTTATTTTTTTTAATATGTTACTATTTAATAACAGTAATTTATTAATAATATATATAAATTTATAATTTGTTAATTTAAATCATTTAATGTAGATTTTAAAAAATACACTGCATTTTTTATTTTATTTAATTTGCCAAAATTATATAAATAATTTAATTATTCAAATTCCAAAAAAAGACACTATTACGCATACATTATAAATTAAATTAATTAATGTACTTTTTATAAATA